CACCCGCCTGAAACCCAACCAGGCAGCAGCTGCACCAGCCCCCGGCACTGGGCTGAGCAGGAGCAGTGCCAGTGAAGGGACATGCCAACCACTGCCTCACTCGAGGGTCCATGGGGCAGGGTGTGGGTACCTTGATTGTGAGCATGATGTGAGTCTGCCCCTTGAGCACCTCCACTGCCTTGCTATGGCTTATGTCTTCAAACTTGACTCCATTGGCTGCAAGGACTTGGTCTCCCACTCGAATGCCGTTCTGCTCTGCCAGCCCGCCGGGGTCCACCCTAGGGAAGCAGGGGGGGCAGGATAGGGCCATGCCCTTGCTGGAGTCCTGCTCCTGCCCCACACTTCCACTTGGGTGGCCCTGTGGCTCTACACCCATGGGCATTACCATGGTGGTAATGCCCAGTCTTCTTGAGAGTGGGAGGGCTCAGCCAGAGAGGAGGGGCCGAGCCCCAGCATGGGCACGGTAGAGATGGGGCTGTCACAACCCCTTCATGCAGCCGTACTTGGAGACGTAGATGCCGAGGCCGAACTCTCTGCCGCCGCGGATGTTGAAGCCCAGGCAGTAGTCATCAGAGGTGGTGTAGAGGTGGACGATGCGCCGCAGCCCATCCTCAGAGCCGCTCTCCGATGGTGTCGAGCCACTTTTCTCTACTACCAGGCGCCTGTTCACCACATCCACCCTGGAGCATGGGTACATGTAGGTGGTCTCAGGGATTTGGCTCTTGTCCTCCAGCTGGATGACCATTGGTGACACCCAGTGCAGAAGAGTGATGGGGATATGGGGGACGTACAGGATGGGGCTTGCACCCGCTCTACCTGCTCCAGACCTTCCTATCCCACCTTGGTCTCTCCCTACCTTTGCCACAGACTTCTGACACCACTCCACCCTGGGGGTCCCCCAGGGATCCTCCCTATTGCCCAGAATCCCCCACCAATCTCCCCCAGCATCCTCTCCACGGGGTTGGGTTTTGGGGTCCTGGCATGGGAGATGCCCTGCTCACCACGCCGTCTTCTCCTTGGAGAACTTGATTCCTGGCACACGACCCATCCGCCGGACCACCATGCGGAGGCGGTTGTTGCCGGTGAGGACCTTGACAGCACTGCTCATTGTGATGTTCTCCAGGCTCACACTGTTCACCTCCGTGATCTTATCACCAACACACAGCCCAGCCTGCTCTACAAGGGACATACGGCTCATCTGGGCACCTGACTTGGTGCCATTGTTTGACATTCCCTCCCTCAATGTCTCCTCAACCTGATCTGAACCCCTTGAGAACAGAGGCAGGGGTGCCTGACAATTGCACTGAGTGGCTTGCCACCTTGCTGCAGCTTGGGCATGGAGCTCAGAGTCATTGGCACAGGGCTGTCTACTCATGTGTCCTGCCCTTCACTTTGGGCAGCCTGCAAATCTCATGGCCAAAGGCAGCAGGGAGCATGGTGGCTTTCCACCATGAAGGGTGACATTGGTGCTGTGATCCCATGTCACTGGGAGCTCCTTGAGGAGGTGTTGCTGGCATGTGCCTATGTTCACTGGTGTCCCTCACTCTGACCCTCTTACCAGCAGTGCTCCCCTCCTCCACTTTGCTGACAAAGATGCCCAACCCATGCTCGGAGCCGCCACGGACACTGAAGCCCAGTTTGCCGTCCACGCTCTTCTCCACTGTGATGGCATTGATGACATCGCTCTCGTTGCTGCTGGCTGTGGGGACAGGGGAGCAGATAAGTCACACATGTGGCATGTGAGCAATGGCAAGGGGTGTCTCTCTTGCTGGGAACATCCCCAGCCCCAGGACAGTCCTCCCTGCCCCTAGACCCAGGAAATTCAGCCATTGGGGCCCTCTTGGCCATGGCAGGGGGGGGAGTCTGGGACACCCCACGCACCTTCGATGGGAGCATTGATGAGGATGACACGGCCCATGGGGGAGGCGGCACGGCTGCTCCGGGTGGTCCCATTGAGCAGGCGGCTCTGCTTGCTGAGGAGGTAGCGGGGAGCCAGGCTGGCTTCACTGCTGGAGCTCAGTGACCGGCTGCCTGTCGTCATCCCTGACAGCACTGCGTCCCAGTCCTGGGCCATGGTGGTGCTGGGCACTCCGGTGTCCCGGCGTCTGGCTCAGGGCTGGCTGCGTCCTCACAGGGCCAGGGCTGCCCGTCAGCCAGCAGGGGACATGGCATAGTCCAGCAGCACATGCCCGGGCTTGGGCACCGCTCTTTTTTAGCAGTGCAATGCTGAGGGCAGCTGGCCTGGGTACTCGCTGCTGGCAAGACAGGTCCCAGGCACAGCAGCACAGCCTGGAGGGACAAGAAGCTCTGTGACCCCCTCTTAAGCCTGATCCTTGCCCATCCTATAGTGACCCAAGGATCAAACTATCACACAGCTTCTGGGTACTACCATGGGGGTGTGGGCACAGGCTGCCCTGTGCTGGAGTAAGGATGCTGGGGTGAAAAAGAGCTCTCCCTGGCAGCATAAATCCGGAACAGGGGATGCAAAGGGGCTTTACCCGACAGCATAAATCCGGAAAGGCTCCAGAGAGGGGACACAGGGACATCAGCTTTATGCTAGAGAGCAGGAACTGATCCCTCTGGCCATTCCCCATCCTGCCTGGAGCCCCTCTGAATTCCCAAGGCCATGCGGCTGGAGATGGGTGCACCAGTCCCCAAGGCAGTTCCCGAGGGGATTTTCCAGGCGTGGGTGAAACGCCACCACAGTGCCCCCCCACTTCATTCCCCGCTCGCCCCAGCCTGACCTCAATAAATAAGTGATAGCCCCGGCTCCGGGGACACGCCGGTATCCCCGCCGCTGCCAGCCCCCCACAGCGCCCACCCATTACCCCCCACCAGCAGCAGAACGCGGATACCATCCCCCAGAGGGGCGCAGGGG